GTTGATATAAATAAAAATTATTCATTATAAGGAAAAGAGGTTTTTTTTTTTTTTTTAATTTTTGTCATTTTATTTTTTAAAACATAAAAATTAATTAACGTATAAATTTTATCTTATGCTAATAAATAAATAAATAAATTAGTAAATAATAATAATGATAAGGATAATAATAATAAATAACGCAAAAAGACTTTAAACAAATAAATAAATAAAAACAAAACAAATAAAAAAAGAAAAATGAAATTAACATCGAATTTTTGACTTTTTCGATAAGAAAATTTAATCAAAAATTGTCATACGCCTTTTTGTTTATTTATTTACTTATTTATTTACTAATTTATTTATTGTTTAATAATCCACTAATTAAAAACTAATAATGATAATAATAATAATTGCCGGGGGGGTAAAAAAATAAAAATAAAAATGAATAAAAACCAAAGTCAAAATTTTTTGTGGTACATATATTTTTACATTTTTTTTTATTGTAAAAATTGCTTTAATTGAAAATTTATTGTTTAAAAAAAAAATGTAAAAACAGGAAACGGAAATGGTTGATTTAAAGATCACACAGACGGACGACGAAAGAAAAACAAAAAAAAAAAACAAAACAAAACTGTTTTTTTTCATCCCTTATAGTTTGCTTAGTCCCTTTTACTTCTCTTATTTTTCTTCCCTTTCGTTTTTCTCCTTTTCTCTCTCTCTCTTTCACCCCATCCCCATTCCAGACTCTCTCATTTCCCATCATATTAAAAAAAAAAAAAAAAAAAAAAAAAAAAAAAAACAGAAAATTTCATTTAAATGTGACAATTGTCGTCGTCGTCGTTTTTTTTTTCTCTCTCTCTCCCTCTCTCGTGAAAAATCTTGATTTTGTGGAAAATATTGCGATTATTAAATTTTTGAAAAGTTGTCAAATATTTTAAATTTTATGACAAGGAGGAGAAGGCAACCAACCAACCAGCCAACCTACCTACCAACTGGAGAGAAGGCATTTTGTTTAAAAAAAGATTTAACTCCATTTTAAAAAAAAAAAATATTAAATCCCGTATTTAGAAAAAAAAAAAATGTCCGTGTACGCGTGCGCGTGTGAGTAAATTTTTATTTTTTTATTTTTATTTTTTTTTTATTTTCTCCCCGGCATAATTTAAAAAAAAAAAACTTTGAAAATGTTGGTTGAATGAAATGATTTTTCTTTAAAAACTCTCGTCACTTTCCTTATCCGTTCCTCCAGACGACTCCTTTAAAGTTTTCACGTTTCCTAAAGTTTTTTTTTTCCAGATGTGGAAAAAAATAAAATAAATAAATAAAATAAATAAATAAAATAAATAAATAATAATTTAAAAAAAAAAAAAAAAAATTTTTGGTCGGGTTATTTTATGCGGAAAACATTTTAAATTTGATATTAATTTCCCGGGAAATTTAAAAACAAAAAAATAATTCACAAATGTATCATTTTTTCAGTAGAATAAACACGTCATAATAATAATAATAATATAATAAATTTATTTTTAATGTGGAAAAGCAGTGGAGAAAAAAAAAAAGAAACAATTTCGGAGTAAATTGTAATAGTAAGAGAATTAAATAAAATTTAGAGGTATATATAGTCTATAAAAATAAGTAAAAAAAAAATTTTTTTTTTTCGTTTTGATTTTCTCTCTCTCTCTTTTTTTTTAAAATAATGAATTGTAGTATAGTTTATGTAAAATAATAATAATAATAATAATAATAATAATAAATAAATAAATAATTTATTATTTTTATGATGAAAAGTCAAAAGTTTTCCTGTTTTTTTTTTTTTTGTTATACACAAAGGATAGGATAAGAAAAAATAAAAACGTCATAATCACCTTTTGAAAAAGGTAAAAACTTTAAGGAGTGACTGAATATTCAAAATCTCGAACCTCCATCGTCTCGATCCTTTAAAAATTCATGTCCCAAACCGTTGCCACACCTTCCGCAAGAAACCTTAAAATAAAATTAAATAAATAAATAAATAAAATGATAATTTTAAAATGTAAACTATACCTCTCTCTATCTCTATCTCTCTCACACGCACGCACGCAAACACACATTTTTTATTTTATCTCTATCTCTTATTTTAACTCCTTAACAAATTTTTCCTTTTTTTCCTTTTTTTTGTTTTTTAAGAAAAGTGATTTTTTTTTTGTAGTCACTAAGGTTTTCAAAATAAATAAATATAATTTTTCCAAGAGAAATTGTATTTTAATGAAATTTTAATTTTATACCGCATAATAATAATAATGATGATGATGATGATAATCAAAAAATGATTTTTCTTTTTCGTCTTTGGGGGGTATAAACAACAAATTTTCTAATTAGAAAATTTAAATTAAACTAAAGAATCAAAATTTAAATATTAATATTTTTCATCGAAGGTTGAATGAATGAGCGAGTGAGCGAGTGGGGGAAGGGGTAGAGGAAGGGGAGAAATTTCAAAAGGGTATACATATAACCTTTAGTAGAGTTTGGTGTGGAAAAGTGAGAAAAACAATATTTTCTTTTTGACTTACCTTCAAGGCATTCGGCCTTCCATCCTCGGGTATTTTTTTCAATGAATCCGAATGAAAAGGTTGTCTGAACGCAGGCCACGGAGTGTGGTGTTCGTATTTAGCAATGCTCGAAAACATTTCATAACCGCATTCTGAACAAACGTAAATTCCTGAAATTCATCAACAAACAATTAATTTATTATTATTATTATTACTATTTTCCTCTTTTTTTTAAATATTTAAAATACGTTTCGTTAGCGTTTCGTCGTCCTCGTTGTCATCGTCGTCTGCATTTACCTTTTAAAAATGTTTTTTTTTCTCTCCCCCTCCCCCTTTCTCCCTCCTGAAACTTTTCCCAAAAGATTTTTAGTTTCCGACAAAGAGTTTTCAACAAAATAAATAAAAAAAATTTTTTTTTTTTTGGTTAATAAAAAGAAAACAAAAAGAAAAAAAAAGAAAAAAAATTTATTTTAATAAAGTTTTCAAAGTAATTTTTTTATTATTAGTAAAAAAAGAGAAAGAGAGAGGGAAAGATATAAAGAAAGAAAGAAAGAAAATTCATTCAAAGAATCCCTGAGAGCATAATGAAACGTAAACTCAATTAAATTTATTTTTACCACATTTATTTCTTCGAGAAATATTTCATATAAAAAAAAGGAAAAAATTTATTTGGATCATAGCTCGAAACCTTGAAATTTGTCTACTAATTTCTTCTGCTAAAAAAAAAATATTAAAAAAACAAAAAAAAGCAATGAAAATTAATTAATTTATTTTTTTACAGGTGAGAAAATTTAAAAAAAAAATAATAATAATAAAACGTGGGAAACGTAACATATTTTTTTTTTTTTTAAAATGTTCGACCGACATTTTGTAAATTTTTTAATACAGAGAAAAATAAATAAATAAGTAGATTTTAATAATAAAACATTTTGTAGCGCTATAAATAAAATTGCACGGGTCTTAAACGGGACTTTCGGTTAATAATAATAATAATTATTATTATTATTTTATAGTTTTTAACAATGACGTAAATCATGACGTTTTTGACTGTCTAAATAGAGTAACTAACTAACTAACTAACTAACTAACTTAAACATTGTTGATAACATAAAATAACTTGTTCATTAATTCAAAACTATTTTATCGTTTTCAAAAACAAAGTTTATGTTTCGTTACGTTATGTTTTGTTTATAACAATAATTTTATTATTATTATTATTATTTTTTTTATTTATTTTTGAAAACGTCCATTTTACGACGAAAACTTTTTTTTTTATAAGAATGCTACGAAATAAAAAAATTTTTTTTTTTTTTTTATTGGCGACAAATAAGATGGCGATGATGATGATGATAGTTCGTACATATCGATTATATAATAATAATAATAATAATTTTATTTTTTTACACAAATTTAAACGTGCGTACGTACCAACTTCAAAGTGATCCCTATAATATTCTTCTCCTTTCCAGCTACAAAACGACATTTTTTTTTTTTCCCTCTTTTTCTTCTTCTTCTTTTGTTGTCGTCAGACTTTTACTTTTTATAACCTTTTTTGAAAATTTTTTTTTTTTTATTACTCACGTAGGAAAACAAAATTTATTTTTTTCCCTATTATCGAGGATCGATAGAAAATTTATCGATTTTACAGAAAAAAAAAATTAATTTTTTTTTTATTATTAAGTTTTTATATGTATGAACAAACAAGTCTCACGTAAGGATCGATTTTGCAATAACAACTCGCGAACAATTCAAATTTGTAAACATTTAACATTTCTTCATGCGATAATCCCAATAATAAATAATAATAATAATAATAATAATTTATCTTTGTATTGTTCTTGTGCTTAAAAAAGTATAATTAATACTGAACTTGGCCTTAACAATCATATATACGTGTGTATGTGTGCATACGATAGTGTGCGGTCATTTCAAAGTCATTATGTTACGGGGTCAATGACTCATTAAAAACTCGTCATTTCTTTAATAAATACGATAGGACACGTAAATTATTTTTAATTGATCGTACGAGAACTACGTTTAACTTATCGTCGAACGTATTCAATTAAGGAATTTACAAATTTAAAAAAGTCTTTTTTTCTTATTAAATTTTTTAATTTTTTTATTGCAGTTTTACCAACAAAAAAAAAAAAAAATTCTCGGCCTATATTAAAGTTGTTTTTTTTTTGAAATACGATGTTGCCAAACGAGTATTCATGAAGTATCACCAATTAGTAATAATAATAATAATACTGATTTTTCTTTTATCAAATACTAAAAATTTTTATGTGAGGGCATGTATAAGACGAAAAATTTAAATTTTGGCGACGATAAATAATAAAAATTTTTTTTTAATATGAAAGAAAGTCGTTAAACCGTCAATTAATATAATTTACTAAAAAAACAAAAACAAAATTTTGATTAATTTAATTAAGTTAAAATTATATAATTAAGTTAATAATAATAATAAATTAAACGAGAGAGAACGACTCCATTTTGAACATAAAATTTTGTTTTTTCACTAAAAAAAAATTATTCAGAACTTTTAGTAAATAAATTTCCCTTTTAATTTTTTTTTTAACCTGGTATTGAGAAAGGGGGAGTAAGGGGGTGGGGGAAAAAGACATAAGTAATTTTTTTTTAAAAGGAAAATCCCGTTTGTTTTGTTTTTTTTTTTTTCTCGGGGAGGTGAGGTTGAGCAAAGAAGTTTTAATAAGTATTTCGTGTGTCTGTGTGATTTTCACTACCTTTATTTTCTTTTTGTTTATTAATTAATAAACAACCACACACTTTGATTAACAACAAAAAAACTTTGAAATAAATAAATAAATGATTAATTTCGAGTTCAGGTAATCAAAGTCTACTAAGACGACGACGACAACGAATGAAATTATTTTGTTTGATTTGAGTTTTGAAAATTAATCAAAAAAAATTTTTTTTTTTTTTTTATGTTAACAAATAAAAAATTCATTAAAATATATATTTAGAAAGAAAAAAAAATTACTCGGAAAAGTGAAAATTAATTCGAAAGTGATTTTTAAAAAAAATTTTATTGTTTTATGTATGTTTTGTATCGAATGATTTCAATTCATTTTCTAAAAGTTTCTTAACAACGATTCGTGCTTTGTTTAAAAATAAAATGGAAAAGGGAGAGAAGGAGGGAGAGGGAAAAAGGAAAACGCTGTTGGAAACGTATATTATTGATTAATTACAAAATGAAATAATTATTTTAACCCAAAAAAGAATAAAAGAAAAATTAAATTGAGGTCAATGATGTGGGGATTTTATTATTAAGAATTGTAAATTGGTCGAATGGGGTCGAATCAATTGTGGTTGGCATTATTAAAGATTTTTTTTTTTTTTCAAATCAATTTTTTTAAATTTCTTTTTATTAGTTTTTATTATTGTTATCATTATTATTACTATTATTTGTTCTTCGAATAGAAAATCGTTTAGAAGTTTCAGGTTTTCAATTTATTATTAATTTTATATATATATATAAAATATATATTGGAAGCAATTTATTAAAGAAAAGAAATTTCTTTTTATTGAAAACAACCATATTACTAATATTGTTATTATTATTATTATTATTATTATTATTATTATTATTATTATTATTATTATTATTATTATTATTGTAAAAGTTTTAATGAATTTTAAACTTAAAAGAAAATAGTAATGGAAAATGTATTGTATTGTTTATAAGAGACATCTGTGGAGTAAATTTAAAAACGTGCGTATTTTCCGATAAAAGAAAAATTACTTATTAGTTGGATAAAAAATTAAAAGATGTCGTTAGTTATTTATAATAAAATATTTTAAGGGGGTGAAACAGTTTTTTTGTCGTAGTTTAATACAAAAACGTGAGGATGTCGTTCTGTTGTTGTTGTTGTTGTTGTTTAATATCTCACCGATAAGAATAGTGTGATAAGAGTTTAAAGGAAAATATTTCAATTTATTTTTATAGTTTTCGCTTTGTTAAAAAAAAAAAAAAAACTGATTAAATGTAATAATCAAATACTTATTAAATAAAACCATAAATTTTTTTTTTATCACAAAAAAAAAAGTAAAGAAATTAAAAAAAAAAAAAGAAAAAACAAGAAAAGAGAAATCAAGAAAGAAAAATAAGAAAAAAAAAATGTCTAAAAGAATAATATCTTCAATCGAGATTATCGGATGGTTTTTGAAATCTATTACTCTCGAAAGACATAATCGATTTGTCATTGCGAGGTCGAAAGATTGATTAAGTAAGATGTCTTGTCTTACTACTAGAGTCTCATGTGTCGCTACTACTAGATTGGAATAAAAATCCTTCGAGAACTGAATCGTTCCCACAGGAATTTTCACAATTATTAACTCATTTATACACTTCTTACATTTGGCACAAACGCGAAACAAAAAAGAAATTTTTTTTTTTTGTCTTTTTTTTAATGTTTTTTTTGTTTGTTTATAAAAAAAAAAATTCTGGTTTTGCGGATAACAACGACAGAAATTTTTCTGTCGCAAAAAAAAAAAAAAATGAGAGATTTTTTAATTTCACACTTATCAGCACAAATTAGAATTATAAGTGTGATAACATCACTCAAAGAGGATAAAAATAATATAATTTTTCTTTTTTTTTTTATAAACAGTTGTTAAATGTCGCACGCACGCACGCACTCACGCACGA